GGGGACGTTTTTTTTCAGCTTGTTTGTATTTGTTGTTTTTTTTTACTATTCCCATTTTTCCTCCACGAGGACACGCCCGACCTAAGGCTTTCGTCTCCGAGCGTGCTCCAATACCGGCATAGTGCCTCCTCCCAAATGTTCGAGTACACACACATACATATATATATATCCATATATATATATGTGTGTGTGAACCCAGGTGTTTGTATATACGTTTATGTAAATATAATGTAAGTGTGTGAGAGTACGTGTGTATGTGTGTGCGTGCGTGCGTTCGTGCGTGCGTGCGTTTGTGCGTGCGTGTGTGGGAGCGTTCGTGTTTCCGTGCGTGCGTGCGTGCGTGCGTGCGTGCGTGTGTGCGTGCGTGGGGTGTGTGTGTGTGTTTGTGTGTAAGAATGTGTGTGTGTGTGTTGTGTGTGTGTGTTTGCTTCGATGTAGTATGTTTCATCGTAAGTCCCCCGCAGTGGATCGAGGCCATTTGCGAGTAGTCGCTTTGCGCTTAGTGGACCGCGCTTGTCAAAGCATGAGCTTGCGGACTTCTCGGGACGGTGCTGCACGCTTTGAGCCCGCTAGGGGCCCGGGGAGGCCCAGCACTGCTGCCGGCGAGCAGGAAGGAGGGGAGGCGGTTCGAGGTGCGGGGTTCCTAGAAGGTGTTTTGCCCCTTTTCTGCTTCCGGGAGCCGTGTGGAGTCCAGGACGGATACGGGGCGAGAAATTGCACCAGATGGATCCCAGGAGGAGCCAGGGAGGCGGTTCGACCGATTCTGACCAGATTTGGCTTGATCCCCCGTCTCGGCCGATTCTTTCCGGGCCCAGCCAGCTTACCCCCTGGCCTCGGCCACGTTCAGAGGGGGGTAGGGGGACTGGGGAAGGCTTCTTAGAAGAGGCTGGTTCTTGGAAGGCGCGGGCCTTGCCAGTAGACGTACTGCTGGCCCCCCCCAAAGAGGCAGCCTCCTTCTAAGAAGCCTTCCCTCCTCTGCCCCCCTCTGCGCCGCCGAAGTTGTGCGGGACGGCGCAACAAGTGTTCTGCCAGGGCAGGCGGTTTGAAAACGAGTTTTCTCTGTGACACAGCACTTGTTGAATCAGGCTTTGCCTGATGGTATCAACATCGACGAATCCCGAGACATTTGTTGAGGGTCCCGTATCCCGGGGAGGGCTCCCAGAGGACGAAAATAGTCAAGAACCTTCCTCGAGGAAGGAACGCCTGCATACATTTACCCTCTGCGCGCCGCCAACAGACCCCCTGGCCGCCTCCAACCGCAGACCCCTTGCCAGCATCCCCAGCAGCGCCCCTTGCGCCACCCGCGGCGCGCCCCCCGCGCGGCGCGGAGCGGGCCCGCGAGGGGAGGGTCCAGCGCGCCGCCCCGGGGAAGCCGGGCGGGCCTCCGACAGGTTGTGCTCGTGCCGTGCTGCACCGGGAGGGGAGACAGACCACACAGACACGAGTACTCCAGATTTCGTAATAAAGGGAGGGGGGTCTCATTTCGGGGGGGGTCTCTTCCAGGCTATCTTGGAGGGCCTGGGGGGTCTGGGGACGATATTTTGAAGGGTTCTCCCACGGGGGAGGTCTGAAATGGCTTGTCTTGGAGGGTCCAGACCCCCTCCCTTGTATTACGAAATCTGGAGTACTGGTCGATTCCCAGGGAAGTGTGGGAACATGTGGGAGGGGGGGGGGGACGACGAAGCTCCAGAGCATGTGGAGGAGTCCTGGGATCTGCGCCAGTCCCGTTGTGTGTCCCCGGGCCCCTCGACTTTGGCCTTCCGAACATGACGGCCGAGACGCTGGAGACCTGCAAGTGCCTGAACCTCTGGCACCTCGCCGTGCCCAACTGCAACGCCTCGGACAACTACATCCAGCTCGACACGGGCCTGTACCAGCAGTGCGCCGCCCACTGGGAGCGGCTGCAGGACCAGAGCAGCTGGGAACCCGAGGGCCCGGGGCCCTGGAGGCTCTGGTGGCTCTGGCTGCTGCTCGGCCTGGCCGCCGCGGGCGCCCTGGCCGCGCTGTGCGCGTCCAGGCCCGCGCCCAGCAAGCAGCCGTCCCGAGAGGCGGCCCGCCGCAGCGCGGGCTCGGGCGCGGCACGCGGCCGCGAGGCCTCGCCGGCGCGGCCTCCCGGGGTCTCGGCCGTCGCGGCCGATCCGGCGAGCCAGGCGCTCCTCGACCCGGCCAGCAGCGAGGACGAGCCCGAGGTGGAGGACGGGCGCGGGCGGCCTCCTCCCGACGCGGCCCGCGCCGAGGCCCTGCAGCGGACGCTCGAGCTGCGGCTGCGGCAGGCGGGGGCGGGCGAGGCGTCGCGTGGCGAGCGCGCCGAGCTCCCCGACGGGGGCCGCGCGGAGGCCCTGCGGCTGGAGTACGAGCAGCGGCTGCAGCGCGCGCGCCCCGGCGCCTCGCAGCAGCCGCAGGCCGTGCCGGGGTCGGGAAGGGGAGCGCTCAGCTCGCCGACGTACGCCTCCGCGTCGGTGCCCTTCCCCAGCATGCCGCAGAAGGGCCCCACGTAGCCGCCCCTGCTTCGAGAGCATGCCCTTCGTCTTCCGCGCGCACACGCATCCACGCCTGCCCTCGGGCGGAGGCGGAGGCGCCGCTCCTGCAGGTGCCAGTGTGGCCGTGGGGCGGGCAAGGCCAGCCGCGGGCGCGCACGAGCCAGCCACTGAGCTGGATGCAGGCGCTCAGCCAGAGCGCGTCAGCACGAGGTGCGCCTCTCCCACGGCAAGGGCGTGCGTGCATCTTCCGCGCGATACCGACGAGCCCCTCCGACGAGAGCACGCTTCCTCGGAGGGCCAGGGTCGCGGGCCGCCGCCGAGCAGTGACACGGGGAGGCGGCATGGAGAGGCGAGGCGAGAGTAGGATTACGTCGGGCGTGTCCCTCTACAGGGGGATATTCAAACATAGTTCAAAAAATAGTATGGAGACTATTCTAGGAGTATTTTCTGACCATTTGGGAGTATGGTTTGAGATTTGTTATTTTCGCCGGAAATCCCCCTGTAGGGGGACACGCCCGACTTAAGAGTGGAAGATCGCGCCCGCCAGCGTAGGGCCGGCTAGTCTGGCAGTGCCGATACAAGCGCTTAGGCCATCGCACCCTGGGATGTATGCCAGGCGCACGCACGCCTTGTACCCCCCTCAATCGCGATGGGCGTCGAGCGCGAGTGATTGATCTACTCAGCGGGCCAGGAAAAGTTCGGGCCCCGCCGTTGCGTGTGGTTGTCAGCACCCTCCCTCCTCCAATCCACTTTCACTCTCTCCTTCATCGACTCCTCCCGCCCTTAGTGGGCCCCGGAAACGGCAGGGCCGTTTTTTCACCGTTTCCGAAAAAGTGTCCCTTGAAAATGGAAACGGCAAAAAACGGCGACCGGAAAAGGCAACAAAAACGGCTCCAGGATTGGAACCGGAGCGGGAACCCGTAAAAGAACGGCGAAGCGGAACCCGTAAAAGAACGGCGTCGGAACCGGCAGCAAAAACGGCAAAACGGAACCAGTCAAAAAACGCCTTGTCGTTTCCAGGGCCCATTAAGCTCCCGCCCCCTCCTCCTTCTCCTCCTCCTCCTCCCTCCCATCCCTTCTCATCGCTCCCCCTCCTCCTCCTCCTCCTTCCCCTCCTCCTCCTCCTCCTCCTCCTCCTCCTCCTCCTCCTCCTCCCGCCTCATCCTCCTCCCGCGCCCTCCTCATCCCGCCCCCTGCCCAATCCATTTTCACGTTCTCCTTCATCGATTCATCCTCCCGCCCCCTCCTCCTCCCTCCCATCCCTCCTCAGTGCTCCCCCCGTGATCTCGCCCCTCGCAACTCCTCAGCTCCCTGCTCACATACTCCTCCTCCTGCTATGCTCTCCCTCCTCTTAGTCTCCTTCCGCCCCCTCCCCCCCTATTCGCTCTCTTTCTGTTTCTCTCGCCACTCCTCGTTTCATCGCCCTTCTTCCTCGTCGTCCTTGCTCTCCCCCTCATATGCCCCCCTCCCCCGCTCCCTCCACCCTCCCATTCCTATTCCTATTTGCACAATATGCACATTACTTTCTTTTCTCCCCCGAAGACGCGCTGAAAGTGGCCTGCACCCTTCCGCGTATTGCTTTGTACATAGGATTGGTCAGAAATTTGTATCGTGTGTGTTATTCCAACCTGGACGTTCTCAAAGGGGCCCACCCGCTGCAGCGTTGGCCTCATTTTTGGATAGGTCCCTTGCTCCCGTCGTTCACAATGCCGCTCTCGCCCCAGAGCGGATCACATAACTGGATCCCAGAGCTTCATCCTCGTTCTCACATCCTTCCATTCCCTTTCCCCATCCTTCCCTGGTCCTCCTGCTCCTCTCGCTCCTACTGCTCCTGCTGCTGCAGTTCCTCCTCGTCTTCCTCGTTCGTCGTCTTTCTCCTCGTCCTGCTGCTCATCGTCCTGCCTATCTGCCACCTCCTCCCCCTCCTCCAATGTACACAGCTCTCTCCACTGTTCTGTTCTAGTCGGTCTAGGCCCACTATGACACCCGTTGACCCATAGAGAAAATCAACAGCGCAATGGGAGGAAGTCGGAGGGAGGGGTAGGATGCCGAATGTGGCGCCAGCGCACCTAGCTTGACTTCCTCCCTCTCCCCTCCTCAATATTCCCTCCTCCAAGCCTCACAGGAGCGAGAACGGGCGACCCCTCAGCAAAGGACTCCATCCAAGAGTGCTGGAGTCACAGTCGATCTGTTCACGTTTTGCACATGTCAGGGAGGGCCGTCATTCGCAGTGGACGTCAAGCAAGATTCTTACATTCCCCCCCGCATCCTCTTCCTCCCGCGTCGGTGCGCACTCACGACAAGGCCCCTGCCGGAAGGCCTGCAGGCCCATGCAGGCAAAGCTGCGAAGAGGACCTGCGCAGGCGTGCGCGCTTGGCCAGGGAGGAGCCCCGAGGCTAGTCCCGCGGCACCTCTTCACGACGCTCGTCGGCTGCGGAAGTGCTTTGGGAAAGAATCCCCCCTCCCCTCCCAGGCAGGGCTCCCCTCCACTTCCCCCCCCCTGCCGGCACCCGCCCCGAGGGCGGCGACGACAAGATGACGGGCAGCACCTGCAGCGACGACAGGAGCGGCCCTTCCCCCTGCCCCCCCTCCAGGAAGGGAGGAGGACGACGAGGACGAGAACGAGGAGGACCTCGTCCCCACCCCCTTCCAGGAGGGGAGGAGGAGGAGGAGGAGGAGGAGGAGGAGGAGAAGGAGGAGGAAGAGGACGCCTTTGAAGGCTTCTGCGCGCTTTGGCTGCCGCCCCCCGCTTCCGGGAGGAGACAGGGGGAGACCAAGACTGTAACGACTTGACACGATCGAGGCAGAGGTCCGGGGCATGTTCGTGGGCGCTGGCACGGTCCAGAAGCCGTCCTGCACGAACAACCAGCCCCCTCGGGCAGGGGTCGAGCGCTCCAGGGGTCCCGCACCGAAAAGCACGACGGCGGAGCGAGTACAGCACAGGAGGGCGTCTCTTTGGATGCTTCTGGATGCTCTCGGCACTCCTGAGTCCTCGGGGGACCTCCTGGGGCTCCGAGGCCATTCTTGGGGGAGGCGGTTGGGAGGGGGCCCTCCTCGTCGCTGCCGCCGACGCTGCCGCCGCCGCCGTCGCAGTCGCCGCCGCCGCCGTCGCTGCCGCCGGAGCCGCCGCAGCGTGCAGCCGCCGTGGCCGCCGCGGCTCCTCTGGCAGGACCTGCAGCTCGGACAGCGACTCGGAGTCCCAGAGCGTGGGCGCTAGTGCCCAGGCGGCCCGCTGCGGCGAGGGCTCCAGGCCCTCCCCTCGCCGCTCTCGAGGCGGGAGGGGGGAGGGACGAGGCGGGAGGAGGAGGAGGGAGGAGGAGGAGGAGGAGGAGGAGGAGGGGGGGAGGGGGAGCGGGATGAGGAGGAAGCGAGGAGGAGGAGGAGGAGTCCCTGGGGGCTGAGTGATTTTCGCCAATGGACTTGCGGGATGAAGCCAGACAGGTCAAGGGGAGCGCAGACACACCGAGGTAACTCCTGGGGAGCTCGGGTAAACCCAGGGGTCTTCAGGGAAGCGAACGTGCAGCAAGTCGTGGCCGCTCCTGCGCGAGCCGAGGCTACGGCAGAAGTCAGCCCGGAACGATGGGAGAGGGAGCAGGAGGGGGAGGAGGAGGAGGAGGAGGAGGAGGAGGAGGAGGAGGAGCAGGAGGAGTAGCAGGAGGAGGAGGAGGAGCAGGAGGAGCGGGAGGAGGAGGAGGAGGAGGAGGAGGAGGAGGAGGAGGAGGAGGAGGAGGAGGAGGAAGGAGGAGGAGGAGGAGGAGAAGGAGAAGGAGGAGGAGGAGGAGGAGGAGGGAAGAGGGAGAAGGCGGGGAGGGGGATGGGGAGCAGGGGATGCTCACAGGAGGAGGGAGGGGAGGAGGAGGAGGACAGATGCTTAGGTGCGCGCGTGCCATATTTGATATCCTACCTCGCCACGTCCCTTCCCACTGCGCCGAACTGTTAGGGAACGAGGAGGAGGACGAGGACGAACAGCAGCAGCGGGAATTGGAGTGGAAGGAACGGAAGGAACAGGAGGACCAGGGAAAGGCGGAGGAGGGGAATGGATGGGGGCGACAACGATTCGGGATCCAGAAAAGTGGCTCGCGCTGGGGCGGGAGCGACATCCTGAACGACGGGAGCAAAGCGCCACTATGCGGCCAACTCTGCAGCTGCAGCACCATTTTGCAACATCGCGAAAGCTGCAACTGAAAAGCGATCGGATTGACAAACGAATGAGTTCTTGCGGGGAACATGTACGCGGAGGGGGCGGACTATTCCCACGCCATCCTACGGGGGAGGGAAGGTACTACGCGTTCGTGTTGTGCAGTTCCAGGGCCCTCACATATACATCACCGCCGCGGCCTGGTTTTCTGTCATGGGGTTGATCGGATTATTGTTTCGGCGGTCGGTTGCAGGGTGCGTCAACTCTCGCGATAATGACATGTCGCGTGTGCAGCGTCATGTGGGCACGCGGTTGCACGCGCAAACACATGTACTCACGTGGTGTATAGTTTGGGGCCGTGTATAACATTCCCGGGTGGGCCCATCGTTTTTTTACACCACCACCGTGTTGCCATAGGGTGCTTGGGGGCAATCATTTGCGACCGCCTGCGGCCGCCAGTTGCGCGCATGGCCACGTGGCAAGCACTTGCGTTCGGCGGGGGCAGGCAGAGACACTCCTGTCGGGGCGGTCACGCGCAGGATCTGTTGTTTTCCTCTATGGCCGCCTGGTGGTGGTGGTGGTGGTGGTGTTGGTGGTGGTGGTGGTGGTAGTGTATATTTTGGGGCTCCGCAGTAGTTGTACTGGAGGAAGGTCTTACGTCGTCGTATCGTGTAGTTGTACAGGAGGGGGAGCAGAAGAGGGAGGGTGGACAGGGAGGGGAATGGAGGGCGAGGGGGAAGGAGGAGGAAAAGGATGGAGGGACGCACGGAGGAGAAAAGAGGGAGGGAGGGAGGGAGGGAGCAGGGAGGCAGCAGGAGGCGGGAGGATAAGCAGGAAGGAGGACGGTGGGGGGGGAAGATGGTGGACAGGGGGCGAGGAATGAGGGACAGGGAAAGAAAAAAGAGGTCTGGAAGGAGGCAGGGAGGAAGTGGAGGATATCTTAGACTTTAGAGACTGCAGGCCTGGAAGCATCCACTTGCCCGACATCGCCCCGCTGGAGTGAACGGGTCTCGGAGTGGCAACCTTCGGACCACGCATTTAGATACGGTTTTAAACCTTGCCTCGCGCCGAGTCTCAAAATACATGGGGGGCCGATTTGGGGCGCCTGCCGGTCAGGCACAGTCGGGGCCCTGAAGAAGGAACCCTTTTCGTTGGGGCGGGGTTCCGTGTTCCTCGATTGTGTCACAGCTTGCCGCAGGTTTTCCCTAGGTTGTCTATGGGGTATCGAACTTTAACTGATGGGAAAAAGGGGCCTCGTTCCTGATTTAGGGTTCCTCAGGTCAACGCCCCTACGGTAGGTTTGCGTCGTGTCGACCAGCGGCGACCCCAGCGCGGGCGTTCAAGGTTGAACGCCGCCGGCGACCCAGAATCGATCGATGTTGAACGATCGGACGTTGCGGCAGCGGCCGATCGTTCAAGGTTGAATGATCCCTGCGGTGTCAAAAACCAACGCTGGGGCCGGCACGACACGAACCTGCCGTAATGTATGTTCAAGCTCTCCGCAGGGCTCCGCCCCCAAAACGCTCCCGCCGCAGTCCCTCTTATTTCTCGGGGCCCCGGCGCTGGACCCCCTTGCCTGCCAGGAGGAAACGAAGCACACAGACATAATTAATCCTCGATTCCCCAGGAAGTGTAGGAAAATATGGGGAGGGGGGGGGGAAGACAGAAACCCAGAAAACATATACGAAAATATGGGGAATATTTGTATTTGTGTGTGTTTATTTGTGTGTCCTTGGGCCCCTTGAACCTGCGGCGGAAGATGAACGGACAACCAGATCAGACTCTGATCGGGTATTGCCAGGACCCCGGGTAAGGGGACCCGGTTAGTGGCAGGGCCCCAGAGCCCCCAAACTGGCCAGAGTCACTAAACCAGGTCTGCCGTATCTGGTGTTTTTCGGGCGACGGCAGTTCCGCTCAGTGGAACGGGGCGGGGGGGCGTCCCCTAGCACACATCACTAAACCAGGTCCCACTAAACCAGTTCTGCCAACGCCCGATCTGAGGCGCCCACACCCCGCAGCGGCGAAAGCTTTTGGCTGCGGCTCGGAGTCTCCTCTGCATTTCGATGCTGGGATGTTGACCTCCAGCGGGCCAGGGCGAGAGAAAGAAGGAGGCGAAGAAAAGGGAAGGATATAGAAGGACGCGGTGGAGGGGACATTTGGAGGAAGAGTGAAAGAACGGGGAGGAGAAGGAACTGTTGCAGGCAACCTCTTGTGCCACACGGCGCACAGTGTTCTGAGGGTAACCCAACGTATCAGACCTAAATTCCAGAGCTCGCCGTGCTTCAGGCTTTGCCAAGAGAGTGGCATCCAAGAGAACTGCTTCCCGCTCCCTTCGAACGACTTCCAAGAAACCTATCACGATCCCCCAGAACGCACGCATAGTTCCATCCAGTGCTTGCGCTCAAGTGGTCTTAGCGAGTTCGAATATGTTTGCGAAAGTGTCTTGCCCATTTTGGTGGGCGGCAGGTTCCTGGGCTCGTGAACTCCTGGGTCAGAGGTCAGAGTGGTCAAACCTCGCGTCACGCCTCGGCATACCCAAGCAGGAGAATCCACAGAAGCGTTGAACAACAACTATCATCGATACTCCTCTCCGCCCGACGGGGACGACCACGACGCGAAGCTCGCCGTGTTCGTTCTGACGGTTGTCGTCACCGACGTTTTTGTGAGCATGGTCGTGGGCGTGGGCGTCGTCGACGTCGTCGTGAACGTGAACGTGGTGGTGGTCGCCGTGGTCGTCGTCGTGCTCACCGTGGGCGTGCGCCTGTTCGTGGCGCCTCGATTGTCGTCGTGGTGGCCGTCGCGGAGGTCGTCGAGGCCGCCGTCGCCGATGTCCGTCGCGGAGGTCGCCGTGGTCGTCGCCAGGGTGGCCGTCGGGTCGTCGTCGTCGTCGTCGCCGTCGAAGGTCGGGGGATCCGGATGTTTGCACTTCCCCGTGCCTCGTCGGGCGCAGGGGTGGACCTAAACGGTGTTTTTGCGATTCTGTGGGCCGTTTTCGCTGCGACTTCGTTTTGCTGTAGAGTCGACCCGCAGAGTAAGGATGGGCATCCCTCCCAAGAGTACCCTTGCATCCTTGCTTCCTGGGTCCATCCTTGGACGCTTTCGTTTGCCGCGCCCCGCTCGAAGCGCTTCGAGATGGGCTTCCAGGGCCCTTGCATCCTCATGGCGCGTCCTTCCTCTGCGGGTTGACTGTAGAGGTGGATTGAAAACAAAACCAGGGAAAGCAAAAACAGAACCAGGAGGGGGAGGAGGAGGAGGAGGAGGAGGAACACGAAGAACACCGTTCAGGTTCAGCCCTGGGAGGGCGCCCTCGACGCCACGGCTGCGGCGCGGACGACGGCGCCGCCTCAGCATCCGCAGGTCCAGCGTGGAGGGCGGCGCCGAGGCGGCCGCCCTGTCGTGCGGCTCCGCCGAGGGGCAGGGCGACCCTCTGCGCCAGGACACTCCCGATCTCGTCGCTCTCGGCGTCGTCGTCGTCGTCGCTCTCGTCGTCGTTTTCGTCGTCGTCGTCGTCGTCGTGGTCGTCGTCGTCGTCGTGGTCGTGGTGGTCGTTGGCGAAGTCGTCGTCGTGGTCGAGCTCGATCTCATCCTTGTCGTCGCCTTCGTCCTGCCCGCCCCGCCCAGCAACAGGCCGCACAGCCAGAGGCCGGGGGGACCCGAGGCAGTGGAAAACGGCCCAGCCGGGGCATCTCGGTGAGGAACTGCAGGGCTAGATAGGCACGGATCGGGCCAGGAGTCGGGCCAGGAGTTCCTCGCCAAGCCCATTCCTGCACGTGGACCCGGAGCAACAGTGGGGGCCCATGCCAAGGAACCCCTTGCTTGCCTCCAGGGTGCCCTGGGTTTCTTGGGTTTCGATGGTTCTGCTAAGGAAGACGTGACGCCCCCACACCAAAAATCAAGCGACGTCCTGGGATCTCAGTGTTGGGTTTCTTGTGGAAGTGTTCTTGTGGACTGGCCTCCACTGTATTGAGAGCCCAGGGGCGCAGGCAGGAATCGGACCAGAAATCAGGCCTCCTGCAATAGTGGAAAGAAACGACGGCCCCCTGTGATGAGGCAGGAGCTGAGCTCGATCGGCCGCCGCGCGGGCTTCTAGTTTCCCCTGTCATCCCAGGACCTGGCCCGATCGGTAGCCGAGCGGGCTCGGTGAGGGCGGCTGGGAGCCCTCCCGGAGGATCCGCGGCACGGGACGTCGGCGCTCGGTCCGCTGCGTGACGCCGGCAGCTTCCCGGGCCGCCAACGAGTGCTCGTCCAGGGTGTTCCGCGCGCTGAGCTCCGCCTGGAAAGTCCGCCAGGAAGCGCGCCAAGCCCACCAGAAGCCACACCACCACCACCACCACCACCACCACCACCACCACCACCACCACCACCACCACCACCACCACCACCACCACCACCAGGGGTGCCAACTCCAGCGAGGAGGTCCACGATGCCTCCCCTGAGCCGGGGACAGGACGCCTCGAGCGAGAGGAGGGAGGAGGGCACCACCCGGGGGCCCCCCCGCATGGCTCCTCCCGTTCGTGGTCCCTGGTGGTGGTGGCGTTGCCTCTGCTTGTTCCCATGCTGTCCTCCCCGCTGCTGCGTCGCAAGCGAGTGGCAGGCGCGGGGCGTCTCGTCTCCGAAGCGTGACCGTGTGGCTCTCGCTCCTTAGCGCCATGCACAGTCTAGGCTTCTGTCGGGCCTGTCCCTCTACAGGGGGAGCGTTCGAAAATAGTAAAACCAAACATTGTCTGGGGACGATGTTTTAGGATGTTTGCCCTTTTGGGGGGGGTATTTTTCGTATTTGCGTCCAGCCAAAATCCCCCGGTAGGGGGACAGGCCCGACCCAAGTCTAGGCCTCCCGGGCGGGGTCCGAGCAGGTGGGTTCGGAGGATCGCGCACTTTAAGGGTAGCTCTTTGGGAGATGTTATAGTATCGGGAGCATAGCTCGCGCGCCGTTGCCTTTGGCTCAAGGCACGCGCGCCCTATTTGCCCGGACACCGCGAGTGTTCGCTATGTGCTGGAAAGACCGCTACATCGATATTATCCTATCTTATCCGTCCATTCCTCTTACTGAACCACGTCAGTACGATACCGGACGCTATTTGCCATCCGATGTCTACGGAATCGAATGCTTTTTGAGTTACCAGGCTCACTTTCGACTTGGTAGCGGAGCTGGCCGCACTCGTGTGGTCAGCTCTTGCTCTTCTTAGCCTCATACTTTTCGGCACGATCTTCGTGACCACCTACCACCCTGCGCTACCACTCCCAGTACGTTTACGAGGATCTATCCAAGAGCAAGAAGCGACACGAGAGGTACGACGTCTAGACAACGATATCGGTACCATATACGCTTCATCATTGCGCTATTACCAACCGCTCGGCAACGAGCCAAAAGCGCAATACCTGAAGCATGGGCGGAGAGATCCGCCAGATAGAGCGCCTCGAAGACTCGACAAGGCGCTACCCCAGCGCGGCAACGCGCCTAATAACCGCCCTTATCTACATAGCCTTGGGCTGGTTATCTTCGCTATCATATGGTTCGCGCTGGGAGCAGCAATCGGACACATGCGTCGTGGAGACAACAGCACCGATGGGCAAACACATGGCCCATATTGGGACCCTCAAGGCAACGTACCTTTCCGGGAGTACGTTTATGAGGTCAACGCATGGCTCAACGTCACAAGCGGACGTATGACGCCACAGGCCCAAGCGGCCGCCATACAACGCGGCCTAGGTGGCCTAGCGAGGACACTCGCCATGAGGGTACCGCCTGACATCATAAATCATGGTGCTGACATCGATGGGGTCCACACCGACCCAGCGACCTACATCATGTTCCTCTTAAGCATGAAGTTCGAGCGCCTGGAAGATGAGCGCCAGCTCACTTCCGGCACACAACTCATCGACTCCCACGTGCCTCACGGGGAACGGATCGATGTCACCCTTACCCGATTCGAAATGGCCCGACTTGAGGCACAATCGGTGGGATTTGACCTTCCCAACTTCCAACTACTAACCACGATCTTGTTCCGCGCCTTAGGCGTCGGCAACCAGCGAGCCATGCAACTCTTACAGCCACTCAATCACCAAATGCCCCGAACACAACAACAGTATGATGAGTTGCTGGAGAGGATGCGTTCGATAGGCCACCTATCTGAACGGTCTCCTGGTAATATAGGATCTGTGTTTGGAAGGGGAAGGGGATCTGGTAGTGGAAATTTCTACACTACCTTGACTACTGAAGCCCAGCCTGGGAACGGGCCCTCAAGCACATGGGCCGATGATCCTGGAGAATCCACTGCTCTGTTAGCAGGAGATCGATCACAACCAAGCTGGGCAAGCAGCCCTCCTTCTAGAGAACCACAACCACACCGTTCCTTATGGGGTGAATCAAATCCCCTAACCGACGGCGTATCCACTTACTTGGGAGACGAGGATTTCGACTCCGGCACCGACGCAGATACTATATCATCAGACGGTGTTGAAGCTTTAGATTGGTCAGATATTATGAATATGGATAATGACAATCAGCGTGCTGAACATTTGTTCTGGTTATTACGACAGGCCAGACGGAGGTGGAGGAGGTTCACACGAAAACCAGTGCGTCGTGTTAGGAGGAGGATACGGAGGAGTTTTAAGGGAAAAGGTAAAGGTAAACGAGGTCGTCGGAGGTTGAACGGACGAGACATCACGGCATTTCTCCAGAGGGTCTCAGATGAACAACATGACGAGATATTGTTTGGGGGAAAGGGCCGTGGCAAGGGCCGTAGAGAGACCTCAGGAAAAGGCAAGGGTAGGCGGGGAAACCCGCGAGGTAGAGACGGCCAGGTTCTTAAATGCCATGAATGCGACAGTACCGACCATCTTGTGCGAGATTGTCCAGCGAAGGGAAATGGAAAGGGCAGGTCGACCGAAGTCCATTGTGGCTCAAGTGAACCATTCATCGAATATCTGAGCCTCCAGGATTTTGAGGCCATGGAACAGATATTTTACACTTGGGTCAGCTGTATGGACAACGTCGACGAACTCGAGGCGTATGGTCATGGATTGTACGCGTACTACCTCGAGTACGTCCGCCGGTTCGTTATTGGCAACAACGAGCTCACTCCCGTGGACAACGGTACGCTGGGAAACCAGCCTCTTTCTTTCTTCGACTGGATGTTCGGGAACCCAGGCAACATCATGGCCTACGAAAGCAGTGACGAGGACATCACTGTGGAGGCCTCGCCTTCCGAGGTTGAACGCAACCTCCAACCTCCACCTGAACTCCCGCCTGGAAACAGGCCTACCTTGATGGGAGACTATCCCCAAACTACTGAAGACCTAATAGATATGGAGTCTCAGACGTTCGTTCAAGCTTTCATTGCAGGTGAACCAGAGATCATATTTGTACCCCCTGGTTCGCTTGCTCCAGGCGAATACGGACCACGTACTCTCCTGCAAACCCTCATGAGGATGCATGAGATACTTATCACCGCTTATCCCGAGAGTCAAGAGCACATCGAAGCTGACAGCGTGATGCTGCAGGATACCGACGCCTGCGGTAGCTCGGAGTTGTTGTTGGCAGCTCTGACTCTCATTGACAGCGTGCACCCTGAGGACGTGCAGAGACACCTGATATACTCCCGCGGTAGATGGCGCAATGCTCTGGAAATTGCTATCGCCATGCGCGGTCATGATCTTCCTCCGCCAGGATGGGGCCAAACCATACGGCCATGAGTAACATTGCCGGGCCGCCTGTGCTCGGCAACGAGCCTGAGCCGACAACAGCGCCGCCTGCCCCGGGACAGCCGAGCGACGTACAGGCGCCGGGTATGCAGGGAAACCTGCTTATACCGGCTGCGCCAATGGCCATCATCATTGGTAGTTCTACATCAGAAGAAGAAGAAGGCGATGGTTGCGGGCTAGATGAGGATGAAGTTACAATCCTCATGATGGAAGTTAATGGTGAGGAAGAGGTCGACTTCGATCCTGACGAGCCTGAATCACCATCACCATCGGCACAGGCGCCGTTTGCGCCGAGCTCCAGCCAGCAGGGAAACCTGCCTCTATTGGCCGATCCACCTGGGATCGCACAGGAGCCTCCGCAGGCGCCTCCGCCGGCTACCACTCAGGCTGCTTCGGCGGCCTTCTGATGAAAACGCTGGTAGGTCCCGTTCCCATACGCGCGTCAGAGGAGAGCCACACCCACAGGCTCGGCTCCCTCGTGAGTGGAGGCAGGCTGGCCCGAAAGAACACGCTCTCAGGCGAGGTGGCCAGCTGCTTCCATATAATGACCCAAGACGCCGAAAAGGGGAACGCTCGGCCTTCGGCAAGGGCAACCCGGCCTATAGGGGCGCTGAGGGCAAGGCTATCCGCGGAGGCTATCAGATTGCAACAAACATCCGCCGCCCTGAAATTGAAGAAGTGCGGACCCAGCTGCGAAACATCATCGCGGCTCGCAAGCAGTATAGGC